ACGGCTCATCGGGTAGTTTTTTCAAGAGTCACGTATTTAGTCCAAATGAAGCTCTAGAGGGGGTTTACTGGATGGGGCGTTTATTTATTTATGTACAAAATATAATCAATAGTGTTATGTTTCTTTGTATATCACAATAGACAATACGCCAAAAGTTTCCTCATCTCACTACCCGACGACTTGGAACAAGAGGTCATTCAAAGTGAGTTTATCCCCTGTGACAAAATAATGGACCTTTCCGCTAAGCCCCGCCCCTTGGATATTGTTGCTAAGGTCCCACAAAAATGACAGTGTTAAAACCATAGAGCTATTAAACAACTTATTCTTATTATATCTCTATGGTTAAAACATACGCAATCACGTGCGTTTGTGATATACGCTAGACACGCGCGTATTCTTGGCTCTGTTCTGATTGGTCACTTGTTAAGTTTGACACACCGGAAAGGTCCATTCTTCAAGCTTTTTCTATCCAATTATATTTTTAGTTTTAGATTACGTATTTTTTTACCGGAGATATGAAGCTCTAAATAGGTATTGAGACTTTGATGACACACTGTTGATATATTTCACAGTGGTTATGAAAAATATCATCCGCTTTAAAATCAATAACATATCGACAACGCAATAAATATCACATTGACATCGAAAATGTACCATATCGATAGGACAATCTATTTTATATTAATAGGATAATATAGTATTGTTAGGGTAACCGTACCGTATTTATTATCGAATTACTAGTCAATATCATAAGCTATATGTAATAATGTATCTTATATAATTTGTAAAGGGTAATCGATTAAATACTATAATATAATTAATAACATATAAATAATGTAATCGATATCATATCAACCGGACAATCGATAAAATATTGGTAGTTCAATAAATGTCATATTGATAGTGCAATTAGAATAGTTTTATCATTAACGTATGAATAGTGTAATTAATAATATATCACCGAAACGATCAATATCATAATTATGTAATTGTTAACACATTGTAGTGTAAGCATAAATATATTCAATAAAGCGATAATTGATAATATTTTCGTCATATTGTAAACGATTTTTCAATAAGTATAATAAATAAAATATAGATAGGGAAACTAATAACATATGAAAAGTGTAATACATAATCATTCAATAATCAGTGTCACTGCAATCAATAATATTTTATATATATATATTTAATTATTTTACATATCGGTAGTATAATTGATATCCTATCGGAGTGTAATTGAAAAAATATAAATAGAGTAAGGCGATTAATAACATATCAATAGGGTAACGAGCCTAAATAATCATTCAATAATGTAAATTGATAAATAATAATAACATATATCATTGTAATCAATAGCATATAGATTAATCAATCAAATCAAAGAGGCATTCTATAACATCGATAACAACATATTAATAACATATCGATAATTTAATCGATAATGAGATAATCGATAAAATAGCCATATCATATTGATATTATAATCTGTATAAAATGTATTTCTTTTATGTTTATTATATAGGTATCACTACTATGGAATCGGAATTAAAGAATCAAGTGTTTATTATCATTCGGTGTATTCTGGAAAAGGATTAACAAGGTAAGAAACAACATTAACAATTTAAAAAAAAATAGACCATTAGGCCTGGTACTCAGGAATCCCGTAATATCTTAATAATGTTTATGTAAAAATATATTTAAAACTTTACATATTTAGATAAAATATTTAAAATTTTAATATATATTTGTACATATATTATGAACATATGTATGTAAATTTATATAGGCCTATGTATACTTTTAATATAATATATAAACATACATACAAATACATACTGTATGTACATGTCTATATATATAGGCCTATATATATATATACATCTTTATATAAATATGTACATGTATACTCAGTTACACGTACCCCATATGTAAAATGGCACTTTGTTTATTATTTCGAGTATTATTTATATCCTTAATATTATATACTGTTATAGTTATTTTATTATCATTATTATTATTATTATTATTATTATGAACATATGTATGTAAATTTATATAGGCCTATGTATACTTTTAATATAATATATAAACATACATACAAATACATACTGTATGTACATGTCTATATATATAGGCCTATATATATATATACATCTTTATATAAATATGTACATGTATACTCAGTTACACCTACCCCATATGTAAAATGGCACTTTGTTTATTATTTCGAGTATTACTTATATCCTTAATATTATATACTGTTAGAGTTATTTTATTATTATTATTATTATTATTATTATTATTATTATTATTATTATTATTATTATTACTATTACTATTATTATAATAAATTCTGCGTTAGCCTAATTTTATCACACACCATGTTCAACGCCATACTTCAATATGACCTTCAAATAATCCAACGGGTTATCTATATGTTCTGTTCACGCACACTAATATAAGTAGCTGTACATTGTCATTACACACCTGGCTATTCAAAAGCATTGTGTCCACAATGTAACCGTTATGTAACGGTTATAAACAATGGAACTTTCCACCGTTTTTTTTTTTTTAAAGCTAGCGATAACATTTTATAGGTGTTGCATCCAACGTGTAAATCATTTTCATATGTTAAAAAAAAAATAAACTAACACAAGTGTTTGTAGTGGTCTTAGCACGTGTGATGAGTTTGGTACTACATTGTTTTATATCCCTCATAATGTAAAATTAGGTGGCATTGCTGATGACAAATGACTTGGATAAGTGTGGTAATATCGGTGAGTATGAAAAGCTTGCATCTCGGACACTCACATAGCAGCCATCCACCGCTAATCAATTTCGATCAGTGTTGGGGCAAACGATTGGTGTGTCAATATTTGGATGGCGATAACCGGCTACTAATCTGCTGTTTTAAAGTACAAAACACATGCAAAAGAGGCGGTTGATGAGAGCTTACACATCTAAAACTGTTTGATTTGATCTTTTACGACATGCATTGGGTTGAAAGTCCTTTCAGCCTACGTGTGGCTACATTGTTCAATCCATATTGCTATTATTCTAATATACTTCTCTTTGTACTAAATTAGGCCTACCAACAAATCCTCCCGATTAAATAGGTCCAATGCCTAATAACAGTATATTTCTAAATTAATTTAGTTATTATTTTAGTCGATCTGCTCAACATATATGTGATTAATTCACTTTTCTGGCCAATAGATGTCGTTCATTCCTTCAATTGTAGCCATAAAGCAAAAGGTATACACATTTTTAATGATATGCCATCTGCAATGACCGAAACAATTGAGAAATAAAATATATGAATTTTTACTTCATATATTCAACAACAGTGTATAATTATTAAACACACCATTTTTAAAGGTATAATTACAATGTTTTTATTCTCTTGCATTGACCCTTAAATTGGCAGGTAATCAATAATTGATTTATGTAGTAAAACGTCTATAGGTTTATCTTTTTTTGAATAATTATTTTATTTTATCTTATTCGTATTAACCAACAGCAATAAAAACCGCCACTAACAGTCAGTGGAAGTTTAAATAGTTTGATATGTGTCTTATTAGAAGTTATTGATAAATTTATTTGTTTATAATTAAAAACTAAAATTTAATTACATTTTTATTTTTTCTCTGTTTTACCACATGATTTAACTGCGAATGGTACGGTAGCATTTGTGACTTTTATTAATGTAACACTTTTATATAACATTAAATTGAGAATTATAACGGCCCACATCAAGTTAGTCGCAGACAATTAAAGAAGTTTTCAGGCTTTCAAGACAACACAGATAAACATAGTTTACGATGGCTGAGACTAAAATATACTTCTTATGTATTTGTAATTTTGTAAGTTTTTTTTTCCTGGGCACACCTTTCTTTAGAAAGAGTGCCACTGCTATGAATGTATTGTTTCCGAATAAATACATAGACGATGAGTAGACTTGATTACAACCTTATATTATGCCTAGATGCTATTGTGCTTGAAATTATAGGAAGATACAACAATAAAAGTGCATTTTTTTATTAACATAAGAACATCTTCATATTTTCTACAGATTTTCAGGCGCTCGATTGAAAAATGAGGTAATTTAATCTGGTTGTTTTTAGGTATAGATATATATATATATATATAGCCTAATATATATATATATATATATATATATATACACGTCTAATTAGTTTTTAGTATATATATAATGTGTGTAAAAGCTAAAATCAGTTACCTCCAATCGGAGTCAAATTCTTAAGGTATCCAAGATGGTGAAAGGATCTGCAAAGACCCCCCCAAGTCCCAGGTTCGGGGATCCAGTTTTGATTCCTACTTAGAGTGATTTTTTTTTCAATTCTGCAAAGTCTTCTGCATTACCGCAATATTTCGAATTTTCAACTGTATTCAAGTTAATTTGTAGTTATTTTAATAAAGTAGTGTTTTTATAAAAATTAATGTTTCCATGTTAATTACTTTGTCATAAACGGACGACTTATTAATCTTCACTAATATTTGAACTAAAACGATATCGTGACTAACTTTGCAAAACAAAGTAATTATCAACGTTCATCGTACGTCCACTTTATTAACAATTGAAAGCCCTGTTATGAAGATTAGATATTATATACCTTAGTCAAATTATTTTACTTAGTTACCACGGAATGTAGTAAGCGTACATATAACATATTGCCATATTTCATGATGTGTTAAATTAATTAATAAAAGTGGGATGCAACCAGGATTAATAAGTGTTGAAATTATATTCATAATATACATACATTTGAAATGAAAACAGAGTGCAAACTGAAATGGTTTAATTGAACAGCAATTCCAGTATACCTGCCAGCGTTGCTTAGTTGCTAAGTATGTATTGTGTATATTACCACAATGTTTCTTATCGGAGTTGAACCAATATCAAATTCAAATCTAACTCTATAAAAGTTTACGAGTATCCAAATAAATAGGTCTATACTGATACGATTATATATTTGATGATACTAAACTATTATATAATTCTACTTTGCCTTCTCTACCTCTCAACCTCCATAGACCAACTTTTATCAGCATTTCTTAAATTTCTTCTTTCCCAGCCCCTTCTCTCCCCCACCCTACTCTCTCTCTTATCAACTATTTGTTGGTAGCGTATGTTTTGTATTTTTTTCTTACATAATCTCGTGTAAACAGAGATTATATCATCGGGTGACTGTTCCCATATATTGGGTTTCCATGAAAAAGCGATAGGACATGTGTAATATTATTGAAATATTATTATATATTAATACGATTTAATAGTATAAATGAAATAGTAATGATAATATAGATTAATATTTGCATAGAGATCAGACTTTTTAGGTTAGCACGTGAGATATATTAACCATTTAAATGATGATGAAACTACACAATTGCCATGACTGATAGGCCTATTTTTATGCTGTATCTTTTTAGGGTGGGTTTAGTAGAAAATATTCGTTAGCCTCAAAGACTGGTACGTTACTCCCGGAATTCCCTTCTGTTGAACACATGATTCTGGAACCTGATCTGGAAAGGGATAAGGTACGGTACATTTCACTTCATAGAGTTTAAAGCCTGATCCACACTAAAATGACGCTTCAAACGCATTGAAAGATACTTGACGCAAACTCAAAACAACGCAGTTCTTTAGCCAAGCCATTTTGCATACCTTCTTTTCGTTTGCGTTATTTACGCGCCTTATATCAATTGGAACCATTTGTTGTAATTTTAAATGCGATGCAATTTGGAAGTAAACGTTGAATTGAATTAACTAAATTTATTTACACTGAAAAAAAAAACCGATTGTAGGTGTAGTTTTACTTGGGTTTTGCGTCAAGCACCATGTTTAGATAGCCACATAGTGTAGACCAAGCTAAGCTTGTGATGTAAAACTAAAACGTGTACAGTATATTGGGATATTTTCATGTATTACTTGAATTAATATTCACTTTTGACAGCTTGAAACCTTATTAATGATGTATAAGACACACTGCCAATGTATACTCGATACCATTATCAACAACACTATTGAGGAGGTAAGCAATGGATCTTTCTCCATAAAATTAAATCATATA